ATCAAACAATCAATAAGGGTGCTTCCACCTTTCAAGTGTAGTAACAGCCACTGGGCTATTGCTATGCTTCAAAGGCAAAGTGCTGCGGGGAGCATGGGGCCAGCAGGGGACTCGAGCAGCCCCCTACTGGCCCCGTGCTCCTCTCAATGTTTCAAAGCAGCAGGACTGCATGGAGTCTGGGTCAGCTGGGGACTCTGAGTCCTCAGCTGACCCGGACTCCATGTGGCACTGCCACTTTGAAATGCCGCAGGTAGCCTGGCGTCAGGCTCCACACAGTGTTTCAAAGTGTTAGCACGACATGGAGCCCAGGGTCAGTGGGGGAGTCCCTCTTCTTTCCCCCCTTCCCTTGCTGCCTCTTTCTGTCAGAGGCAACAAGGGGGCGGAGTGACTGTTCGACTAGCTTGTTGACTATCTGATAATCATTTGCTTATCGGATAGTCGACTATTTGTTCACATCCATAGGCCACATTGTTATTTCGAGCGCAGTCACTCAGGCAGAGCTAGCATATGTTGGTTTACCTATTCTGGGAAGCACCATCCTATCTGCTGCACAACCATAACCCAAGTGTAACAAGTGCAGCAGTATGTCTGCTAGTGTTGAGATTAGAGAGTGGAAAGAGGATGATTCATGGAATGGATAAAAAAAGAACTAAAATCAATGGAAACATAATTCTGTTCTTATTTAAAAGGTCAGGACCATTATTAGTGTTGGCCAAGGTATAAAGGTAATGACTTAATCATTTTGTGTAAATGAACACTTACAAGTCACTGCTTCTGCTGCTGCTGCTGAACTCTTACGCTGTCAATTATCACTATGTAATAGCACTCAAGTGCTCTTCATGTATTTTAAACTATTTACTATTAAAACCAAATTGTGCCTCTCACTTATCGATAACTAGAACTAAGTGGTTCTAGTTGCTGGACTGTAGAGTAGAAAGAACAATGGGACAGAAGAAAAATTAAACACAAAAGCATGTGGAAGGACCAAAGAAAAGAAGGGGACCATTTCTAATTTCACAGGAACTATGAAGATTATAACAACTAAAATTCACTGATGTACCCATTGTGTTCCCATATTCACTGCATGTACCAAAGATATCATGTGAAACAGCAATCATCCTCAGGTTATGTAATAAATATACACCAAATGTAACAGGTGCATCGCTGTGTTGTGTTTCAAGTTTGGATGAAAATCCCCAATTTCATGAGCTAGTTTTAGATCTTGATTCATGATTTTTGAGTATTTGCAGTTGGCAAAATAGGAAAACAAACTGTTATACTAGTGTTCTCAGCTATCGCTCACCCACTCTTCCTCATCTCCCTCCACATCTTCCAACACTCGCAAAATCTCTACTGCTTCTCATTCTTAAGATTTAACCCTCTCTTTACCAAAGAGTAATTTATTACATTTGTTAAGAGTAAATTCACTGCTTTAAATCAGAAATTTGGTTAATAATCCCATTTATCTACAATATAATAGACAGAGATTTTGTAAATGCTTTTGTAAGAGACTGGGAGACAGTATTTTTTTAAACTCTGAGCAATTATATTTAAATGCCTTGCATTAGTCAGCATTCAGCTATTCAAATACCTTACAACTTGCTCCAAAAGAATCTGAAAACTGAACATAGGGAAATCATGAACAGGAACACTGTAAAATACTATAAAATTTGGTTATTTTATCGGTGTTCTTTAGTAATCATGGTTTCCAGTCACTTTTATCCCCCCAGAATGGGGATTATTTGCTTAGCATCAAGCAAAGCCACAGCTGTCCAGATGATCTCAGAAGATAGAGGTGAAAGGCAAAAACTACCCAATCTGAACATTTGCTCTAACTCAATTTCGGTTCAACTAAAAATGTATAGAAAAAAAATCTGTAAATTCACTCAGTTTATAGCATTCATTTTATATCTTATTTTAAATACTTCCTTCAGACTACGTCTAGACTGCAAGCTTCTTTCGGAAGAAGTTTTTCCAGAAGAGATCTTCCAAAAAAGATCTGACGTGATTATGCAAATGAAGCATGGGATATTTAAATCCCCGCTTCATTTGCACTTTCGAAACGTCTAATTTATATCCTTCTGCCGACAGAGAGGTGTAGTCTAGATGTAGCCTCAATGGTAAACACACTGTTAAAGCACATAAAAAAAGCGATCTGCTTTTTTGAAAGATAGCGTCCATTCAGTGTGGATGCTATCTCGCATTTCAGCTGTCAATATTATGGACGGAGTGGCCACCAGAGCACCTGTGCTTTTCCCTCATTCCTCTTCTTTCTAAAGAACTCCCTGTCCATACATGCCTTTTCTTGAAAGAGCCCTTTTAGAAAAAGGCTTCTCTCTCATAAAAAGCGGTTTACCAATGTCAGAAAAACCCCTCTGATCTTTTGATTTTTTTTTTTTAAAAGAACATGATAGCAGTGTGGACGTAAATGAATTTATCGGAAAAACAGCCGAAAACAACTCTGTAGTGTAGATATAGCCTCAAATTAAGGTTTATCATCAATGAAGTAGAACATTACTTATCTTCATCAATGAAAAGTAAAAAAAAGTCTTAGAATTACCTATGAAAAGTCCTGACTTGAAAGTATTCTAAAACATGAGTTGTGATTTCATAAGTCCTTAGCATGTTTATCATTGAGGCTACATTTAGACTACACCTCTCTGTCGGCAGAAGGATATAAATTAGACGTTTCGAAAGTGCAAATGAAGAGGGGATTTAAATATCCTGTGCTTCATTTGCATAAATCAGTCATGGCACTGTTTTGAACAGGCGCCATTTCGGAAGTGAAACCCCGGTTTAGACATGGTTCTTTCAACAACGGGGTGCTTTTTCGAAAGATCCTGTACAGGACGAGTACAGGATCTTTCGAAAAAGCGCCCCATTGTTGAAAGAACCGTGTCTAAATCGGGGTTTCACTTTCGAAACGGCGGTTGTTCGAAACAGTGCCATGACGTGATTATGCAAATGAAGCACAGGATATTTAAATCCCCTCTTCATTTGCACTTTCGAAACATCTAATTTACATCCCTCTACCAACAGAGGGGTGTAGTCTAGACGTAGCCTAAGGGATGACAAATTATGTTCTCAAAACTTGAAACAGGAATGAATAGCTTAAATGAGGCTGTTCCTTGTCAGAATGGGTAGGAATGGTGTCCCTGGCCTCTGTTTGTCAGAAGCTGGGAATGGGTGATGGGAACTTCATGGAAATATCACACTTTATTATGATCACCACCACATCAGATTTTTCAAGTCTTTGGAGAGTTTCCTAATTTAACATAACTGAAAAGGTCTCCTGCACTCCTATATAGCTAACCTAGTCTGTGATACATATGGGGTGAGGGGGGAGAGCAGACAAATAAACCAGAAGAGAAGAATATCCTTAATTCACAAAAGTGCTTTGAGACCAACCTGTGATTAAAAAATGTGAGTACAGGCAGTCCCCGGGTTACGTACAAGATAGGGACTGTGTTTTACGTACAAGATAGGGACTGTTTGTTCTTAAGTTGAATCTGTATGTAAGTCGGAACTGGCGTCCAGATTCAGCCGCTGCTGAAACTGACCGCCAGTTCTGACTTACATACAGAATCAACTTAAGAACCCCAAGCGTCCCCAAGTCAGCTGCTGCTGAAACTGATCAGCAGCTGATTCCAGGAAGCCCGGGGCAGAGTCTAAAGGGTTAATTTCACTCTTATTTACATGGTTCAACTCAGAAGTAGTACCCATATCAGCTAGAGCAGAATTTTTCATTTATAACAAGACAATTACATTGGGATTTCTAGAACATGAATTAAAACATCTTAATTTCTACCTGCAACTCCAATTATCTTCTCAATTCATGTAGCAACAGTTCTCTAAAATGTGTTACAAAAATCCCTTCAGGAATGAAGGAATTAGTACCCATAGTTCACTGTCTGTTTCAGGTCAGTCCTACACAAGAAAGTTTTGCACCACCTCTTTTAAGATTGTATAAGAGTCAATGATTCAACAAAATACAGTAATTTCATTGTTGGATTTCTTATGCTTGTGTTCTAATAAACACTTTGAAAAAACGGAAACAAATTTTACCTATACATATTCTTTTAGAAAATTGGTATAAAATGTGCTGAACTGTATGCATTTTCGGTTAGATTTCCAGGGAGTCTTGGCCATTTTCTTGCTATTGATACTATTAGGGATGTACCCGGTAATAGTATAGTCAATTAACCAACAAGCAAAAGCTTATTGGTTAATGCTATAGACTACACTCATTTCCCCTCATCACACTTGCCAGTAAATTTTTAGCAGGCTGGCCAGCAGCCCAGCTCAGTCCTGGCTTGTACCGGATCTGAGAGCTACCTACCCCCTGCTGCAGCTCTGCATTTAAAGTGTATTAGTAGCTGGGAGGACAGGCAGCCCAGCTCAGTTCTGGCTTGCACTGGGTCCAGGAGCTCAGTGCCCACCCTGGACAGGGGTTGCTGCCACTCTGCGCTGCTTCCTCTGTATCAGAGGCAGCAGCGTGGGGCCACAGGCAGATCCGGTCCACGAGGGGAGCTGGTTTTTAAACTGTCTCCCCTCATGGACCAGCTCCTGCCTGGCACCCCATGCTGCTGCCTCTGATACAAAGGCAGCAAAGGGGAGTGGCAGGGAGCTCCTTGGGAGTGGGGCAGAATTGCACTAGCTGCCGGCTCTGCCCCCAGGGACTATACAGGCAGCTCCCACTTGCAACACTATTGGTTCCCAGTAAAGTGTCGCAAGTTGGGGGCATCGTAACTTGAATCTTCATTTACGATAGGAGCCGTGCCCCGTCTAAATGCGGGCTGAGGATGTAAGTCGGGCCCCTTCCACACTTACAAAAATGGTTGTAACTCGGGCAGTCAGAAGTTGGGGGTTTCCTGGTTAGCTTAGTTGAGTAACCGATAAGAATTCACGAGATTAATCGACTATTCAATTAACTGATATTTAACATCCCTACATACTGTTGATCTTAATCTGTTAAAAGTGTTTTCTGTAAGTATTCTTACCAAATGTCACTTCTCCATTGCCACTCTTGTCAAACAACTGAAAAGCAACAATGAACATTGCATCTGGAGTACACAAAACTGACTCAAATGCCAAAAACTCTTGATAGGAGATCAACCTACAAAGGAAAAAGAGAAGTTAAAGGATTCAAAAGATATTCACAAGGGTTATTGAAGTTTTGGGTTTGACAGTTTGGAAGGCTTCATAATCTAGCGATTAAGAACAGAAGTCAAGAAATCTGATTCTGCGTTAAACATGGGAAGAAATGTGCTGTGTGGCCTTAGGAAAGTCACAATCTTCGTGACGGTTTCCAGTTCCATTCTGATATGTGGACACAACTCTCAGTGTGAACCTAGAATTTAATTCTTCATAATTATTTTAAATGTGTTTATAGCATTTAAATTTACAATGTGTGAAGTAAGAAAGCATTTCTGCTAAAATGAAATTTGAAGGGTTGCCACTGCCATATTGCTAATATATAAGCTATACCAGAAAAGGTTGGATTTTTGAAAGTCAAAATATAGATAAAAATTAAATTTTCCTGGCAAAATGCAAAATATAAACACACCTTCAAATTCTTTAAACAACTTTGAGATAATTCACCACTCTTCAAATGAACCAAGCTGACTGCAAAGGTTCTGAGTTTCAAATTAGCCTGTCATCTGAAGAAGTGTGTTGTGCCCACGAAAGCTCATGATGCCATCTACATGTTTTGTTAGTCTTTAAGGTGCTACTAGACTATTTGTTGTTTTATGTTTTTCCAGAAACACAGTTGCAGTATAGGACAAAGCCCATTTTAATCACATTCCATCATTAATTTATCTACGTGAGTTTAACATCAGTAAGGTATTTTTTATTTCATTAAAATTTCAAAAATAAATTTAAATCACAAAAATGAACTGCAACTGTAGCAATAAAGTAACAGGTGTAACATCTCTGCAAATTGTCACGGAAAGTATTCTAAAAATAAATATATTTATTGATTTCAATTTGCAAAATATAGCCTTCCAGTTCTCTCAATGCTAAGGACGAACTCATTGAACTGAGCATATAAGTTGTTGTGTTCATATATGAAAACCTCAATTGAACAAATGCCTATTTTATTAAAGAGTTTAATAGACATTAGGGATGTGAATCATTAACCAGTTGGTGCTGGGGCAGCTACCCACCCACCATAAACAGAGGACTGCTCAAGCACCACGGGGCCCATTGCAGGTGAGGGACGCTACCAGCTCAGCCCAGCCCCTGTCAGCAGTGCGGAAGCCGCTTTAGCCAGGCTGTGATGGGTGGAGGGCCGGATTGGAGCAGCTCTGGAGCCAACCCCCGTTTAATCAATTACCTAGTCACATCATAGTATTGTTAAGTAATTGTACATTTAATTTCCTAACCAAACAAACTATAAAATCATAGAATCATAGAATACTAGGACTGGAAGGGACCTCGAGAGGTCACCGAGTCCAGTTCCCCACCTTCATGGCAGGACCAAGTACTGACTAGACCAGTGGTCCCCAACCATTGGAGGTTGCCGGGAGCCAGCAACCAGGGGCGGGGCCACCCCCCCAAGCGCTCTTCCCCCCGCCCCCAAGCGCTGCGCACCTGGGGCCGGTGCCCCCTCCAAGTGCTGCGCGCCCAGAGCGTGGGCGGCCAATCTGCGGCACTTCCGGGGCCGGCGCTCACCGTGCGCCATGCGCCCGGGGCCGGCTCCGGAACCATGCATGCGCCACATGCCCAGGGCCAGGCCAGCCCTGAGCACTTGGTGGGCACACACAAATGCCCCCGTGGGTGCCATGGTGCCCGCGGGCACCATGTTGAGGACCACTGGACTAGACCATCCCTGACAGACATTTATCTAACCTACTCTTAAATATCTCCAGAGATGGAGATTCCACAACCTCCCTGGGCAATTTATTCCAGTGTTTAACTACCCTGACAGTTAGGAACTTTTTTCTAACGTCCAACCTAAACCTCCTTTGCTGCAGTTTAAGCACATTGTTTCCTGTTCTATCCTCAGAGGCCAAGATGAACTAGTTTTCTCCCTTCTCCTCATGACACCCTTTTAGATACCTGAAAACTGCTATAATTTCTCCCCTCAATCGTCTCTTTTCTAAATTAAACAAACCCAATTCTTTCAGCCTTCCTTCATAGGTCATGTTCTCTAGACCTTTAAATCATTCTTGTTTCTCTTCTCTGGACCCTCTCCAATTTCTCCACATCTTTCTTGAAATGTGGTGCCCAGAACTGGACACAATACTCCAACTGAGGCCTAACCAGTGCAGAGAAGAGCGGAAGAATGACTTCTCACGTCTGGCTCACAACACACCTATTAATGCACCCCAGAATCATGTTTGCTTTTCTTGCAATAGCATCACACTGTTGACTCATATTTAGTTTGTGGTCCACTATAACCCCTTGATCCCTTTCTGCCGTACTCCTTCCTAAATAGTCGCTTCCCATTCTGTATGTGTGAAACTGATTCTTCCTTCCTAAGTGGAGCACTTTGAATTTGTCTTTATTAAATTTCATCCTGTTTACCTCAGACCATTTCTCCAATTTGTCCAGATCATTTTGAATTATGATCCTATCCTCCAAAACAGTCGCAACCCCTCCCAGCTTGGTATCATCTGCAAACTTAATAAGTGTACTTTCTATGCCAATATCTAAATTGTTGATGAAGATATTGAACAGAGCCGGTCCCAAAACAGACTCCTGCAGAACCCCACTTGTTATACCTTTCCAGCAGGATTGAGAATAATTAATAACTACTCTCTGAGTATGGTTATCTAGCCAGTTATGCACCCACCTTATAATAGCCCCATCTAAGTTGTATTTGCCTAGCTTATTAATACGAATATCATGTGAGACCATATCAAATGCCTTACTAAAGTCTAGGTGTACCACATCCACCGCTTCTCCCTTATCCACAAGACTCGTTATCCTATCAAAGAAAGCTATCAGATTAGTTTGACATGATTTGTTCTTTACAAATCCATGCTGGCTGTTCCCTATCACCTTACCGCCTTTGACCCAGATTAAGTAGTGTCTTTCTCCAAAGAAACTCCTATTGAAGTCAGTAAAACTATTTTTAAATTAAAGCTGGCTCCCTCTGAGCAATGGCTCCTGCTTGCCATCCCTTGCTGCCTTTGATGAAGAGGCAGTAACACGGGGGTGCAGGTGGTTCTGCAGGAGCAGGCCTGAAAGCTACTTCCCACATGTACCAGCTCCTGCCTGCCCTCCCCAGACCTCACTCTTTATGAGAGGCAGCAGCGCAGTGGGGAGGCTTTTAAGTCGGCTCCCCCTGAGAACCAGATCCCTCCTGGCCACCCAGGCTGCTGCTTTTGTGGGAGGCAGGGAGGTTGCCCACGCCCCCTACTGTTGCCTTTGTGGGGCAAGAGATGGCTCAGTGGGAGATGATACTCATATGGAGCAATAGAGCGGAGGGCAGGTGGCTCTGCAGAGCTGGCATGCGTCAAGAACTGGTTTAAAAGCCAGCTCCCTGCGCGTATCAGCTCAGCCTCTCTTCCCATGCCCCTACTACCACTGATGGGGGCAGGGAGATCAGGCAGCTCAGTGGGAGCTGAGCAATATGCACAAGGAGCTGGTTTGAAAGCCAGCATCCCACATGTACTGGCTCCCACCTGTTCTCTTCACCCCCTGTGCTGCTGCCTCAGCAGGTGACAGGGAGTGGGTAAGTCTCCACAGTAGCCAATGCTGGGGGGAACCGGCTATTAAGCCAGCTCCTCATGACCACTGGCTCCTGCCTGCCTCCCTGCACTGGTGCCCTTATGGGCAGCAGCAGGGGGAGCAAGTGGCTCCGCAGGAGTCCGCACACATGGGGAGCCAGGTTAAAGCTAGTTCCCTATGAGTATCAGCTCCCACCCTCCATTGCTGCCTCTGATATAGAGACAGCAGGGGGGGCGTGCATGTAATGGATTAACTGATAAGCCTGAGTTTATCCATTAATTGTGTAATTGACTACATGCTAACAACATCCCTATTGGAAATATCATCAGCCTTTACTCATGGCAGGTACTAAAATTACCATTAGCCGATGAACAAAGAAATGCTCAAAAACTGAGAAGGCGAGCTAAATCTGGGTAAGATAATGCTCAATACCTTAACCACTTTCCAACTTCTTCTGTCTCTAAAAAATCCAAACTCTGGATAATAAATTATACATTATTTCCCCAAATTTTATCATCTGCATGAATACACTGATCTCACTCTATACAACATTATTTCCGAGCCGTGGGAAAAAAATACCAGGCCTCAGCATGACTGCTGGGAGGGGAGCAGAGCAGGGTGGGCTGGGAGGAGGGGCAAGGGAGAAGGGAAACCAGCTGCCAGGAAGCAGGGTTGGGGGCAGCAGGGCTGTACCATGGAGATGGGGGGAGGCGGGCGGCCGGCGGACTGCTGGGAGGGGAGCAGAGCAGGGTGGGCTGGGAGGAGGGGCAAGGGAGAAGGGAAACCAGCTGCCAGGAAGCAGGGTTGGGGGCAGCAGGGCTGTACCATGGAGATGGGGGGAGGCGGGCGGCCGGCGGATTCAGGGTTGGGGGCAGTGGGGCTGTCCCGGGGAGATCTGGGCAGGTGGGCGGGCGGCAGAAGCAGGGTTGGAGGCAGCGGTGCTGTCCCGCGGGGATGGGGAGGGGGGCGGGCGGGCAGACGGA